TCCGCTCATTATATTGGTTACTATTTAATACAGTCTTCATATTTCACATATTGATTGGTCATAACTAGAAGATGACTACTATTGATTTTGAGAAAGGGGGGCATATGTGTCGGTTTTCTCAATAAAACACAGCATTTGATGTTCCACTGGGTAGCTCTTATACGAAGGTTTTTCTTGAGGTCAAAATGTTATTAGAAAGGTGGCTGCCATTTTGTCTAATAGGGACTCTCTCAGTTTTACATTTTTATCTGGTATTTTTCTTTTACAAGTACCATTAATACCATGAAATGTAACATACGTTACTGTCGCCACCTAGAATTTTCAACTTTGAAATTGTGTTTCAGAAAAATAAGTTCCAGAATTAACGAAACATGTGCAATTAGTCATTGATGCATGTATATGCACTTTGATATATTATTAGTAAATTTATATTTGACTGTTAAAAATCTCATTGATATAATGAATGATCAAATGTCGCCAAATGCAGATAAATAAATAGTGACAAAACCTAAACAATAAGAAGCGAAACAGAAATTACATAATTGAATCGATGCATGCTTAATAATATAGCATATATATAATTAAAGCAAAAATAAGCTTGCAGCCTCTCAAATATCATTCTGTTTTCGGAAATTTTCATTTTTTATTCAAATCTTTTCAACAGCATTTTAAAAAGAAACATACATTACCATTGTTTAAGAGCTAATCCATTCAAGGAAGACTCCAAACAAGTAAGAAAATTAACATGTGTGTAACTCTGATACATTAACCACAAATTATGGCAGGTTATACGCTCTTGCGTCCTTTTCCAACTCATTTTCAATGTAAAAATGAAACATACCTTACAAACTTTTTAAAGAAATTTTATCAAAGGGGTAATTGAAGTCAGAAAGCACGTATAACTGCAACATAAACTTCAATTTAACATTAGTAAGTAAATTTTGTTAACTTTGGTCGAGTTTTATCTTGTTTAAGTAGCCACAGTGAAAAAAACGTTACTTTTATCAAACATACTTTATATTGTTTACACATGCAAATATAAAAACATAAAATCGCATTTTTATGACAATAGAATGATGTACATTTGATTCCTAAATAAAGAAATCGATTTGCATGTAAGTTTCAATTAGTTCAAAAATATGCCAGTGTGATTAAACGTACGTTACTCCAACTAACAATTCAACAATTTCTGAAAATTAAAGATAAAGTTGGGATAAGCATGCCTGTTAGTAACGGTTACCTTGTATTAGATGTAAGAAGATACAAAAGTGGTTTTGCATTAAGGAAAGATATTTTCATAATATGTTGATGTACCAGCAAAAATTGTTAAAAACATATTACAAGCTGTTGAAGTTCTCAACAACAACTAATTCGTTTCTGTAAAGAGATTATTGGTCGTATTTCATTCTATATAAAATAATGTTAAAATAATATCGAAAAAATATAAATTATTTTACAAAAAAAATACATTGTTTTCATAATCTTTATTTGTATTTGAATAAAATGAAACATACGCGACATGCTATATGGGGATAAATATAGAACTGCTCGGCAATAAATTTTCCAAATATGAAGAAAGTGAAAAGTTGAATGTTTTGAAAAAAGGTTGCTAAATACAACATATGTGTATGCATTCGACCTCTCATATATTATATATGATATATATCCATTGAATGAAGACATAAAATAATCGTTTCCAAAATTGACGCTACTTGCTTTCTACGAATATTTAACTTCGGAGAAATTAAATGAAAATTAGCAAGGTACCCAACTTCCTTGAATTTTCCTGGGTTAGAAAGTCCCTCAGGATAGAGAATTTACAGATTTTGATATATTTAACAGACATTTGTTATTTATATGCAGCCAATATGTTACATTATTAGATCTGAAATCTACGTTACCGAGGAAATACAGTGTCATTACAGAAATAAATGCCATCCTGTTAAAAAATTGTTATAGTTTCTGGTTGAAAATATTTCTGGCAAACATGCAAAATACCCTAAACTTTTACTTCAACGATAAAAACTGACACAATGACAACATCAAATTTTTAATATTTTCCAACCTCAAATGCTTTATTTTATTGAGAATGGGCGTATTGCCCCTTGTTATTTTTCATACTTAATTTTTGCCCAGAGCAAAATCAAAAAGCCTTTGAGATATCAACATGAAAATTTCATAGGTGGATAGATCTCACTCAAGAGGTGTGCAGTGCACAGGAATAATAACTCTACCCTTCATAATTTTTTAGTTATTGCCATTTGTTATTTTTCAAACTTACTGTTTTCCTGAGTGAAGCATAACTCAAAAAGTCTAAATGAGATGTCAACATGAAACTTCATAAGAGGATAGATCTTATTGAGGTGGAAATGCTGTGCTAAATTAGGAGTGCAGCACACAAGAATGATAACATTCCCTGCATTATTTTTCAGTTATTTCCCTTTGTTATTTTTCATACTGATTTTTTGTCCAGAACAGAACTCAGCAAGAGCACCGCTAGGCGGAGCATGATATACACGATAACTGTTTTTTTTAGTAAGGATAACAGAAAGACACCAGGGATATAACATAATATTAGCAAATTTTAGGGCATATAATTAATGTACTGAATATAAGTGATAATCCCATGAAATTTGACGGTTGTAAAACTGTTAACAATATTAAGGTCATTTGATATTGACCTTTGACCTTGTGACCCCAATGTAGATATGGATCTTATATTCAATATAGGCAATCATCCTATGAAGTTTGAACACTGTAAGCCAAATGCATCTTGTGTACCACAATTTTCAGTGTTAATGTCATTGTGACTTTGACCTTATGACCCTAAAACATGTGTCATGTATTGGACATGGCTGTTCATCCTATAAAATTTTAAAGCTGTAGGTTGATTAATACTTAAGTTATTGAGTTATTAGTGACCTTGACTTTTGACCTTATGACCCAAACAATGATAGCGGTCTTCTACTCAATATTGACAATCATCCTGTGAAGTTTGAATATTGTGGGCCAAAGGATCAGACTCAATCAAACCTTAGACCAAAAATATACATTTTTGACCCCAGATCAAGCCGAATCTGCAATTTTCATACAGTATTGTTGGTTCACTGCTTCCGAGAGATTATCATGATTAATATTGTTAGTTTTCACATTTGTGAATGATATACCAGAAACATTCTCCGACGATGCATATATACATATTATACAGCAGATATTCTAAATATAAATGTAGCCTACACTATATGGTTTGAATTACCTTGTTTTGCCGATTTGAATTTATTTTGCCATTTAAATCGGTGTAGTTTTGGATACATATACATATTAATTGATCAATTACAGCCATAGGCGGAGAAAGTCATTCTTATTGATATTACACCATAATAATTTGTATTGTTGCCCAGCAACAACACGAAATTTGAAGTTAATGCCATGATATAATTTAAAGACATCTGCTCGGCTCTTGAAATCTAAGGATATACATGTACAAATGTAATATACGTTTCTGTATGCACTGTCGAAGTCACTTGCTTGACATTCATCGCAATGGGTTGGTTAATTAAAAACACACCTTATTGGGAAAACTGGGAAGTTTTATGTCTTTGTGAGATCATTAATAGCCAAAGTCACAAGATTTTGCACATGAAGTTACTTATTTACCTAATGTACAGAATGCCGTTAGGGCCATCGCCTATGAATGTGTTGATCTAAAGCACGAAAGTCGATAGTACGATGGTGAAAACGCGAAATCACGAAACTACGATGGTGAAAACGCGAAAGCAGGATGATGAAAACGCGAGAGTACGATGATGAAATCGCGACAGTACGATACTACGATGATGAAAACGCGATAAACTATCGTGTTTTCACCATCGTACTATCATGTACGGAATGCCGTTAGGGCCATCGCCTATGAATGTGTTGATCTAAAACGCGATAGTCGATAGTACGATAGTGAAAACGCGAAATCACGAAACTACGATGGTGAAAACGCGAAAGCACGATGATGAAAACGCAAAAGTACGATGATGAAATCGCGACAGTACGATACTACGATGATGAAAACGCGATAAACTATCGTGTTTTCACCATCGTACTGTCGCGTTTTCACCATCGTAGTTTCGTGATTTCGCGTTTTCATCATCGTACTGTCGAGTATCGCGTTTCAGATCAAACCATTCATAGGCGATGGCCCTAACGGCATTCCGGAATTCCGTTAGGGCAATCGCCTATGAATGTGTTAATCTGAAACGCGATAGTCGATAGTACGATGGTGAAAACACGAAATCACGAAACTACGATGGTGAAAACGCGATAGTACGATGATGAAAACGCGACAGTACGATGATGAAATCACGACAGTACGATGGTGAAAACGCGATAGTACGATGATGAAAACACGACAGTACGATGATGAAAACGCGATAGTACGATGGTGAAAACGCGATAGTACGATGGTGAAAACGCGATAGTACGATGATGAAAACACGACAGTACGATGATGAAAACGCGAAATCACGAAACTACGATGGTGAAAACGCGACGGTACGATGGTGAAAACACGATAGTTTATCGCGCTTTCATCATCGTAGTATCGTACTGTCGCGTTTTCATCATCGTACTTTCGCGTTTTCATCATCGTGCTTTCGCATTTTCACCATCGTAGTTTCGTGATTTCGCGTTTTCACCATCGTACTATCGACTATCGCGTTTCAGATCAACACATTCATAGGCAATGGCCCTAACGGCATTCCGTAAAACTGTACTCTGGTAAACTCACGGTGGCTTACTGCCGTGATCCAGAGTGAAAACTACCACACCGCCACCAGTGTGGCCAAGTTCTGATTAAATTGTTTGAAAATAAGAGGTTTGTGTAACTTTCCATAACCTATACTTTTTGCGCTCTATTCATAACATATTGATAAAAGTAGCTGATAAGGCTATAAATAGATAAATTTGATGACGCAGTTAAAACTTTAACTATAACTACCAAACAGGAAGTAAATTAGATTTTACACCTGAATTCACGGAAAACCAGTAGCCATTAAACACACAAATTAAAAGCTTGGAAAAGTTTAGATTTGGTATATTTTTTTTAAAATGGCGACTAAAGGAAATGCTTTGCTGGATTTAGCTTTTGCTATGGACTGTACGGGAAGTATGGATCCATATATAGACGAAGCCAGAGAGAACATCGTAAATATTGTGGATGAAGTTGTTAAAACTGAAAATTGTACAGTTAGACTAGCTTTGGTGGAATATCGCGATCACCCTCCGGAGGATGAAACCTTTATCACACAAAAACATGATTTTACTAACTCTGTCGAAACTATGAAATCATGGTTGGAGGAATGCGAGGCTGACGGCGGAGGTGATACCCCTGAGGCAATTGCCGACGCTTTAAATGATGTCCTACATCTTTCGTGGAGAGAAGAAGCGACGAAAATATGTGTGTTTATTGCCGATGCACCTCTGCATGGTCTAGCTACTGATGACGACGAAGATTCGTTTCCAGAAGGCTGCCCAGACGGACTAGATCCAATGAACATATCGAAGGATCTTGCAGGAAAAGGAGTTGCACTTTACGTAGTTGGTTGTGAACCAAGCGTTAGTGATTACAAAGATTTCTATCTTGCTTTGGCTGAAATAACCGGCGGACAATATGTTCCTCTTACAGATGCAAACAATTTAACAAAAGTTATTATTTTTGGATCTAAGGAAGAAATGTCGTTGAAAAAGCTTGAAGCCGAAGTCGAAGAAGAAATAAAAGTGCTGACGTCATCTGGGATTGTTATAAATGAGGAGGAGCTTTCATCGTCCTTGCATAAAAAATGGTCGGACAGAGGTGAGAAAACTAAACAATTGATGCTGAACCATAAAGTTTTAGAAACAGCAAAAAATTCTGCAAACGCTTCGGCGATGGCAAAAATGGGATTTGAAGGAGTACGAAATTTATTTGCAACGTCATTACGAGAGGCCAAAAGGGACTCTGGGAAATGTCTTGATACCTCAAAGTCAGATGGGGGTGGCGATAAAGATTTACAAGAAGAAATGAGCAAGGCTGATAAGGTAGCTAAGGCCACTCGTGCGTTGGCAGATCTTAAAATTGGACAGAAATCTGTGGATAAAAGTTTTAAAAAGGTGAATCCTGGTGAGCTATCGCAAACAATTGACTTTGGTCCGGCGGAAAGTTGCCAGAAATCTATTTCCAAAAGTTGGATTAAGGTGGATCTTGGTGAGTTACCACAGACAGTTGACTCTGGCCCTGCGGAAAAGGAGGCTCTATCGACAGAGGAAGGATCGGAGTACCAGTGTATCGATGAGGGAGTGACGATGTCCCAAACCATGCGAATTATTCAAAAATCTATGATGAAAATGTCAAGAAGTGGTAAGGATGATAAGAAATGAATTGAAATTACAAATAAAAATAGCCGAATTGTCCCGATTAAATCTATGAAACAGAAGCGGTATGCTTAAACAATTAATCACGTACATTTGTATATTGAGTCTATCAATAACATTTTTAACTCATTATTATTATTATTATTATTATTATATCACTAATTTTATTATTATCAAGGTATTTCTCTCTTTTCCATATTGTGCACATTAAATACAATTCATATCAAAATTTGATGTGTGCTTTGTAGAGAACTAATTTCATGTCTAAATAATCATAATTTCATAGTCTTTAAAATATTTTCCAAACACTCATCCTCTGTGTACGAACTTCACAATAGTCTTGAAGAATCATTTTGTGTTTATATGGTTTTCGTTATAAAAACAAAATTTAATTATTTCTAAAAATTGTCTAATTGAGTAGAAATTTGTGTATTCTACAAATTACATACATAATAGTGCTATAATTTAACATTTTAGTTTACTTATTATCTATATTATTATAAGTTGGCAGTAGCAATAGGACAGCAGTAGCAGTAGCAAAATTATAAAACGTGAACTTGGCAGTAGCAGTACCTCAGCAGTAGCAGTAGCAAAATAATAAAACGTGAACTTGGCAGTAGCAGTACCTCAGCAGTAGCAGTAGCAAAATTATAAAACGTGAACTTGGCAGTAGCAGTAGCTCAGCAGTAGCAGTAGCAAATTTATAAAACGTGAAGTTGGCAGTAGCAGTAGGACAGCAGTAGCAGTAGCAAAATTATAAAACGTGAAATTGGCAGTAGCAGTAGCTCAGCAGTAGCAGTAGCAAAATTATAAAACGTGAAATTGGCAGTAGCAGTAGCTCAGCAGTACTAGTAGCAAAATTATAAAACGTGAAGTTGGCAGTAGCAGTAGCTCAGCAGTAGCAGTAGCAAAATTATGAAACGTGAAAGTGGCAGTAGCAGTAGCTCAGCAGTAGCAGTAGCAAATTTATAAAACGTGAAATTGGCAGTAGCAGTAGCTCAGCAGTAGCAGTAGCAAAATTATGAAACGTGAAAGTGGCAGTAGCAGTAGCTCAGCAGTAGCAGTAGCAAATTTATAAAATGTGAAGTTGGCAGTAGCAGTAGGACAGCAGTAGCAGTAGCAAAATAATAAAACGTGAAATTGGCAGTAGCAGTAGCTCAGCAGTAGCAGTAGCAAATTTATAAAACGTAAAGTTGGCAGTAGCAGTAGGACAGCAGTAGCAGTAGCAAAATTATAAAACGTGAACTTGGCAGTAGCAGTAGCTCAGCAATAGCTGTAGCAAAATAATAAAACGTGAACTTGGCAGTAGCAGTAGCTCAGCAGTAGCAGTAGCAAAATTATAAAACGTGAACTTGGCAGTAGCAGTAGCTCAGCAGTAGCAGTAGCAAATTTATAAAACGTGAAGTTGGCAGTAGCAGTAGGACAGCAGTAGCAGTAGCAAAATTATAAAACGTGAAATTGGCAGTAGCAGTAGCTCAGCAGTAGCAGTAGCAAAATTATAAAACGTGAAATTGGCAGTAGCAGTAGCTCAGCAGTACTAGTAGCAAAATTATAAAACGTGAAGTTGGCAGTAGCAGTAGCTCAGCAGTAGCAGTAGCAAAATTATGAAACGTGAAAGTGGCAGTAGCAGTAGCTCAGCAGTAGCAGTAGCAAATTTATAAAACGTGAAATTGGCAGTAGCTGTAGCTCAGCAGTAGCAGTAGCAAAATTATGAAACGTGAAAGTGGCAGTAGCAGTAGCTCAGCAGTAGCAGTAGCAAATTTATAAAACGTGAAATTGTCAGTAGCAGTGATCAGCAGTAGCAGTAGCAAATTTATAAAACGTGAAATTGGCGGTAGCAGTAGCTCAGCAGTAGCAGTAGCAAAATTATAAAACGTGAAATTGGCAGTAGCAGTAGGACAGCAGTAGCAGTAGCGAAATTATAAAACGTGAAATTGGCAGTAGCAGTAGGACAGCAGTAGCAGTAGCAAAATTATAAAACGTGAAATTGGCAGTAGCAGTAGCTCAGCAGTAGCAGTAGCAAATTTATAAAACGTGAAGTTGGCAGTAGCAGTAGCTCAGCAGTAGCAGTAGCAAAAATTATAAAACGTGAAGTTGGCAGTAGCAGTAGCTCAGCAGTAGCAGTAGCAAAATTATAAAACCTGAAGTTGGCAGTAGCAGTAGCTCAGCAGTAGCAGTAGCAAAATTATAAAACCTGAAGTTGGCAGTAGCAGTAGCTCAGCAGTAGCAGTAGCAAATTTATAAAACGTGAAGTTGGCAGTAGCAGTAGCTCAGCAGTAGAAGTAGCAAAATTATAAAACGAGCATTGAGCATTGACATAAATAATACATTTTCAACAATTCGTATATTACAACTTCCACAATATGACTATTTTCAGCGTTAATTTTTAGTTGATACAAATTTATTTTATTTTGTTATTCAACATCAATTGGTAAAAAATAACACTATAAACTGGGTTGAATAAAGCAGTCAATCTAAAGTATGGGGACATGTTACAGAAAGAAGGAAGACAATTTTATATATATTGTTTTATCATATATGTAATTGTATTTTAGAGAAATTTTAAATTTACAACCGAAGATCGGTTGCCTTCGTAATGCCTGCCGAACACTTCTGAATACTCCAGGTAATCGATTTCATGACCGAACATAACATAATTTATCAATAAATGATTTATATATGATGTACGTCTTTTTTCAAATTTACAAACTGGACAATATTTCTTTTTTTTTATTAAACGAGAAAACTTTAACTTTCAAAATGGACATAGGTGCGTAATTCGACATATAATTTTCGACATTTTCACTTTTCATAATATTTTCTGTAGTTGGTAGTATTAATCGGGTTTCATTTTTTCCCAGCAAATCAGAAAGTACTGACCTTTGGTTAATGCACATCCAAACGAAACATGATGAAAATTAATTTCTTTAAAAAAATAATTTTATGTTGATTTTTGTATTTTCTGATCGTAAGATCAGTAAATAGATAGCTAACATCCACGGTCTAACACAAAATTTCCTAACAGTCCTACCAACGCAAAGTAGTTCTCACTCAAAACTGCTTAAAAACCAGCAATTTAAAAGAAAGAATAATTTTTAATGTAGGCATTTAACGAATTACAGTGCATTAAAAGTTTAGATTAGTCAATAGAAATATGAGGTTACAATCACAAATTTCGCGGATGAATATCTTTTTTACCCAATGAAAAATGTTCGGCTATTTCCGTAAAGCTTCGGATTATCATGAATATCATTTTAATCAATGAAAATGCTATTTTTAGCTATGCCGATTACCGAATACTCCAGAGCGTAGTACACAAATAAATCTGACTGTCGAGTAGTGGAATATATACATGTCGGACTGTTTTGGCGAGAAGATTTTCATCAGTGTTAAACAACACGTTTATCGTGAACAAAATACCTCGAAATTAATAAGGATTACAAACACGAAATGGAAATTCTCAATTTAGAATTACATAATGTATTCGTTTTTATTCCAGGTTCATATGTATAACTTCGCCGTGGTGCAGAGGTAAGCGGTCTCGTTGAGGGTGTGAGAGGCCTATGGTTCAAATCCTAGTCGAGGCAATTCTATTTTTTTCATGCAAAATTCCATATGTAAATCTCAAACTGTTATAGAAGAAAATCTAAACGCTGTCGCTGCGTAAGATGAATTATAGTATATAAAAAAACTTATACAGGAAAGTACATACAGATAGTCAGTATGATTTAGATTGCAAAGATCAGAAAATACCATAGAGCTGCAGCCCTTTGATTTTTAACTGATTCGAAGACATGTGTCAAGATATCAGATGTGGTGTATTTCCAAATAACTGGTTTCTTACATTAGAGTAGATTGAATAGGACGGAGCTATGAAAAATGATACTCTGATGCTAAGATATTAATTATATCACTTAGGAATCGGCGTTGATAAGCAAGACATACAAAATACAGCGTTTTGCTTACTGTCTATTGCTTGCTGTGCATATTTTAAAGCAATAATATCAAAACATTCCGAATATTGTGATAACGTTACAACAAACAGTGTACTGTCTACTACCTATTACTAACTATTTTCTTCTTGTTTAAAAATAAAAAATCTATTGCAATCACATTGGTTAAAGAACTATATATACAGTTGCCGAAATAGTTTGTGTTTTTTTGTATTTACTCATCGAAAGCAGTCACATATAAGGCACGCATCAATAAATTTTTCTTGTTTATTACGTGCGCACACGATAGCTTTCCCTTACGTGGCCACGCGATACTATTACGTGCACACGCGGATAGGTATTCCGCATTTTGACCCTGACCGGGATCCTCGCATGAATAGTTCGACCAATCGCAACTACTCGGCCCTTTCCGCCAGTCTTCGGATAAGGACCTCGAACACAATAGTATGAATACACAGAACGGATGCGGTATTTCGGTCCAACCTATATACGCTAAGAAACTAAACATGTTAACAAATGGTAATTTAATGCTGGGAGTTGTTGACATGTTTATTTCCAATATATGTAGTAAAAGTCCACCTAAAACAAGTGAATTTATAGGTACAAAAGCAAACAATACATTATTTATATATTTTTTATTATGGTTGTAGAAACGAAAGTACAAAAAACCAACCTGTTGACATTTAGTCGGATTTGTTTAAAATTGAACGTCAGTAGGCATATTTAAATTACAAATTGTTGTCAGACATATTTCAAGCATAATAGTACCGGAATAGTGGTAGAACTACTTTCAATCCGTATTGTTTCCGAGGTTATTATAGATAATAGCCGAGGCAGTTCAAAATGTAGTTCGACGCCCCGTGTAAGTGCCGAACCTAAAGCGGTCAGGGGCAAGTGTTTTTTTGAAATCACTCGGTCACGGAGGCCCTTAAATGATCTATGGAAGAAAATAAGAAGACCATTACACAGTTTTGTTTTTTAATCAGAAATATATGTATAAAAAAACGTCATTTTCCAAGAATTGCGGCTTTCAGATCCGCAATTGAAAAAGCACTTACAGCATGCATGAGTTCCTAAAATAATCCGGGTAATGCCATAATTATGGAATATCGGGCCACTCAGAATCGGGCGAGGCGAGACATTCCGATGAGACACGAAGCGAGGCACGATATTGAAACACGAGATCTCGCAATGTCGAAGTATCCCGTACCACGAGATTTCAGAAATTAATTAATTTTTATTTCTTTAGATAGGGCAAGTATGAATTGATTAATATTCAAGTAATGATTTCTGAGGAAGTTAGATGCATGTAACCCAAAGGAATTCGCGTTAAATGTGAAATAATGCGTCATAAAAATGTAAACAAAAGTAGTATTTTGACTTCAATACAAAATTCTAAATCACTTCAACTGTGCAAACTGCAAAAAAGTAGCAGATGAAAAAATGCTTCAGGTAATTAGCCAATAGCCAATGAGTATCTTTTAGAGCTATAAAAGTATACCAAAAATAAAAAAGCTTTAA